TATAGATATCTCTATATATATCTCTCTATATACAAGATTTTAAGGCTCGCTGCGCTTCGCCTTCTAATCTTGATCCTTGCACCTACGATGTTTCTGGGCGCGGGCGAGAACACAATTGTTCAATGAGGTGTGTGGGAATTGTGCGAGCGGAGGCGAGGCGAGGCGAGTGCGCGGTAGCGCCCGGGGCGGGGCTCAGGGCGCAGAGTTGGTGGACGCTGGAGTGGAGGTGAAGGTGGAAAGTCGGATGCCGGACGCTAGAGGTCGGAGTGCTGAGCTGATGGAGGCTGGAAGTCTATAGGTGGAAGTCCCACCAGCCCTTTAGGGCTACGGTGGTATAGCGAGTTTGGTCTTCTCTCTTCCCCTTCCTTCCCCTGCTCGGGGGAGGGGTAACCTTCCCCTGGACCTGGAGGGGGGGGGGGGATGGAGGCGTTAGAGCGTCCAAGATGGCTCAAGATGGCTCCAAGAGGCGCTCCAAGTCGCAAGATGGCCTCCAAGATGGCCCAAGATACCTCAAGATGGGTCAAGATAGCCTCCGACACACCTCCAAGAGTCCTCAAGACGGATCCACGTGCCCTTCGAGCCCTCCACGGCGCCCTCCAAGAAGCCAAAACCCTTCAAAAGCCTAAGGAAAGTCAATGTGTTTGGCATTCTCGTCTTTTCGCTTCCGATGGGCCCCTGAGGCATCAAGATGGCCCCAAGATGGCCCAAGAGAGCCCCAAGAGGGGCCCAAGAAGGCCCAAGACGGCCCCAAGATCGCCCAAGAGGCTTCCAAAGAGCGCTCCAACACGTCCCCAAGACGCCGTTTGAGAGCCTCCGAGGGGGGGACCTGAACTGAGGACCCCCGCTCTTTTTGAACAATGGGGCCCAAGACGGGCCCGAGAGGCCTCCCAGCCTCTCCTGAAGATTCTCCACCCCGCCCTTTTTGGCCCAAGATGGCTCCAAGAGAGCCCTAGATAGCCCAAGATGGCCTCCAAAATGGCCCAAGATAGCCAAGCATGGCTCAAGATAGAGCCTCCGACAGATCTCCAAGAGGCCTCAAGACAGCCTGAATATGGCCCAACATAGCCGAGCATGGCTCAGAATAGCTTCCGACAGCCTCTAGCCGAGCATGGCTCAGGATAGCCTCCAAGAGGCCTCGGGAAAGCTGGCAATCAATTCTGGACGGGCCGGTGGGGATACGCGAAGCGTCAAGAATTGAGAGGAAAGTCGGCGGCCGCATGCTGGAGGACGGGATGCTGACCTGGTAGAGGCTGGGAGTCCCGCGAGCGAAGCGGCAACACGATATTGAATGAGAGATGTGGCCGGCGCCTCGGCGAGAGCACGGGTCCCAGTGAAAGCTGTCTTCTGTTTCCGCCGTTTGCCCTCCCCTCCTCCTGCTCCTCCGTGCCCTTCTTCCGTCTTCCTGGGGCCCCTCCTGTTTCTCGCAATCCTCACCGTTCCTTCCTCTTCCTCCTTTTTCTCCTCCGTCCCGCCTCCTGCTCCTTTTCCTTCTCTGCCACGCGGGCCCATTCGGCGCGCGGGCCAGCCGAGCCAAGGACGACGGCGACAATGACAACGACGACGGCGGCGACGACGACTCCCTGAAAAACTTGACCTCCGAACCTGTCCACGATGCGTTCTGACCATCAGTTTCACGAGAACCCGGCCGCGGCGACGGGGGAAAGTCCCAGAGTCTTAGAAAAACAGCAAACAGTTTTTGTTATTACAAAACAGAAGAACTCAGAAGGCGCGCGGGCGGGTGGAGGGGTGCGACAGAGAGGCACAGAGAGAGAGAGAGAGAGAAAGAGAAAGAGAACGAGAGAGAGAGAGAGCGAGAGAGAGAGAGAGAGAGCGCGCGGAGGAGGAGGAGGAGGAGGTGGAGGAGGACGAGGAGGAGGAGGAGGAGGAAATGGACCTGAGCGGCCCTCATGGTCGCTGCGCGACCTCGGAAGCCTTGCCACGTGCAATGATAGACGCGTGGGGCTTTCGTAAGAGGTAGGGGCGGAAGTGCAAGGAGTAAGAGAGAATCTGGAGGGCGAGGACAGGGAAAGCGCGGAATCCTCGTGTCATGGGGTCTGAACAGGATGGGAACAACTGGGAAGACTGCACATCAAATTTTGGTTCCCGGGGCCGCGCGCCGACTGTGAAGTTGATCTCTTTGGGGCCCCCGAGGTGTGTCTTGTGGCGCCTTGGTGTCTTTGGTGAGCTTGGATATGAGTCTCAGATCTGGGGCCCTTCAGAAGGCAGCGGAGAAGGAAGACAGCGAACTACAGGAGAGAGAGGAGCAGGAGGAGGAAGAGCAAGAGGAAGCCTTGTCGTAGGCCCGTGGTGGGGTCTTCTTGGACCGTCCAGGAGTCTCGTGGGTTCTTCAGGGGAGCTGGTGATAGCAGTCTGGGGTCTGGGGTATGTTTTAGTTCTCGCGAGTGTTCCGTGGGCTTCCTGAGACGAAAGGAGAACTGCGCATCAAATTGTGGTTCCCCGGACCCTGGAAGCCTGTCGTGGGCCCTCTTCGGAGCCCCCTTGGTCTGTCTTGGCACCCCTGGTTGCTTTTGGGGAGCTTGTGATAAGAGTATGTGGTCTGGGGCTTTTGACGAGGCAGCGGAGGAGGAAAACAACGAACTACAGGAGGAGCAAAAGGAGCAGGAGGATAAAGAGCCGGAGGAGGAGGAGCAGCAGAAGGAGGTTGGGAGGAGATTTCCGAAGAGTTGGTGTCGAGAGTTAGGTTGGAACCTTCTTGGACTTTGATGGGGATGTCTTCAGAGCCTCGAAGGAGGAGATTTCCGAAGAGTTGGTGTCGAGAGTTAGGTTGGAACCTTCTTGGACTTTCTTGGGGATGTCTTCAGAGCCTCGAAGGAGCAGCTGGAGGAGGATCAGGAGAAAACCTCCTGAGAAAATGAGTATCAGTTTTCGTATCCCGGAGTCGGTGGAGGCAAATGAGGAGAGGGCGATGGAGGAGGAGGAGGACGAGGAGGAGGAGGAAGGCGACGAGTTCGAGGGAAGAAGGAGGTTGAGGAGGGGATGAGGGGCAGAGAGGGGGAAACGGAGGAGGAGGAGGTAGAGAAGGACGAGAGATGGGCTGTCGGACGTCCGAGTAGGTCATGCCGAGAGTTATCTTGGAACCCTGTTGGGCTCTAGTGGGGATGTCTGCAGGGCCTCATGTGCCGTCTTGGGGCGAGGTTGAGAAGAACTAGGGGCGATGGGGGGGGCCGCTCAGGTCAATCAGAGTGTAAAGAATTTGACGGCTCTAAGACTGAGTGGAGCTCCTGTTGGTGCTTTTGTATACCATCGGATGGCCTTCTTGGGCTGTCCTGGGGCCCTCGTGGGCTGTCTGGGGGGGCCTGGGCCGTCCTGGGGCCGTGTTGGGGCTCTCTCGGGCCCTCTCTGAAGCATCCCGTGACTCTGTTGGAGCCCTCTTGGGGGTCTTTTAGGGGTCTCTTGGGCGCTCCCTGGCTTTCTTTGCGCTTTATTGACCCATCTTGGGGCCCCATTGGGCCGCCTGGAAGCCATTTCGGGGCGACCTCGGAAGCTCGCAGATCATTATTGGGCCGTTCGTGGCCAGAAAAGGCGAGAAGCACAGAATCGTTCAAAAATAATTGGAAAATTCAGGTTTTTGGCCTGCTGAGGCCGTGTTGGAGGTCTTTGCGGGGGCATCCTGGACAGTCTTGAGCCCATGTTTGGTCCTGTTGGAGCCATATGGGGCCGTCTTGGGGCCTCTTGGGCCTTGCAGAGGACGTCTCGGAAGTGCCTTCTGCTGTCTTGGGCTCCCGATGTAGGCCTCGTGTCGCTCTCTTCGGGGTATTTTGGGCCGTCTCGAAGCATTGTGGGGCTCTCTTGGGAGCCTGTGGGGTTCATCTGGGGTCCATGTGGGGGGGGGTGTCGGTGACATGCCGGGTTTTTCCTTGTAATTTGATAGGTAGAAGGAATATAGAGGGTGGTATCGATGTTGTGCAACAAGTGCGGTACAATCGACGTGGTGCAGTGTGTGCGGTGCCAATCTACGTTGTGCAGCGGGGCGGCGGAGGTGGGGCGGGGCGGCCACGGCGCGAACACACGGCCAGACCGCGAGCCGCCGCCCCGGCGACGGGCGGCCACGGGGATCGGCGGCGGCGACAACGCAGCCGCCGGACCGCCAGGCACGCCCAGCTCCTGCTCCTCCTCCTCCTCCACCTCCTCCTCCTCCACCTCCTCCTCCTCCTCTTCCTCCTCCTGCTCCTCCTCCTCCTCCTCCCCATCATCCCCTCCTCCTCCTCCTGCTCCTCCCCTCCTCCTCTTGCTTTTCCTCCTCCTCATCCTCCTCCTACTTCATTCAATCCTCCTCCTCGTCCTACTTAGATCCTCCCCTCCTCTCCTCCTCCTCCTCTTCCTCCTCCTCCTCCTCCCTCCTCCTCCTCCTCCTCCTCCCCCCTCCTGCCCCCGTCTACCCCCCCTGCCCCCTCGCCGCCCTCCCTCGCCGTTCCTCTGACGAGGAGTGAGACACCCGAGGTGCGAGCGCTGTTCAGCCACGCGCAGAGGGGGGTGGGGGGAGGGGGGAGGGCTTCTTAGAAGCACCCCTGCTTCTCAGAAGGCGCGGGCCTTATCTACAGATGTAATGTAAGGCCGGCGCCTTCTAAGAAGCAGCCCCCTGCTAAGAAGCCCTCCCCCCTCCTCCCCCCGCCCCCTTGTGCGCGCCGCCAATCTGCTCGGGGCGGAGAGGCCTCCCAAGGACTCGAGCCGGAGATCGACTGCAGAGCCGATGTGCCCCAACTCTTTGTGTGCCCCGTCGGATTTCTGCGAGCTGCACGGCGATGCCTCGCAGATGCGCGAGCGCTTTGGTCCTGAGAGATGGAGACTCGCGAGGTGGAGCAGCTCCGTCGTCGATGCCCTGCTCGAAGGACCGCCCTCGCGCGCGGAGGCCCGCGGTTTGTCCGCCCCCAGTCCTCCGCAGCCCCTTTGGCGCGCCCGCGCGCGGGCGCGCCGGCCGGCGCCCCCCGCGGGGGGCGGGCCCGCGGCGGGGGGCCGGCGGGCCCTTCTCCCTCCCGGCTATGGCGCCCAACGCGGCGCCGATGGAGCTCGGAGAAGGCCCTCGGGGGACGAAGAGGTGCCTCAGAGAAGGAGCGCGAACAGAAATCGCTCCGGAAAGCGTGCCGCGCGTCGTGCCGGCGGTCTCGGTGTGCGCGGCGGGAGGCGGAGTGGGTAAAACGACGCGAAGATCGGGACAAAATCGGATCGGGATAGCTCGAAATCTCTGAGAACCGGCGGGTTTGGAGGATGCATTGGGCGCCGCGGCCGCTCCAGAGCGTTCCGGAGCTCTCTGAGAGCGCTCCGGAACGCTCTGGAGCGATTTCTCCCGATCCTAGCCCTGTTTTAGTGGGCGCGGCGGGGTGGAGGTGGCGGCCGAGCGGAGCGACCAGCTCGCACACCGTGTGCTACTCCTGCATCGGGCGATCGCAAGCATGGATCAGGGGGGCGTGGATTCGCGCCGGGTCCCGTTTCCCTGGGAAGTCGGGGAGCTCCGCCGCCGGAGGAGGCGGCGCGGGCCGCATCTCGGGGAGGGTGCCTCCCCCGATCCATGGACTTGGCGACCGCGCGCCAGATCCATGGATCGCTCATCCATGTTTGCGCGCCCCCGATCTGTGGAAGGAGGTGGGGGGGTGTTGCAGGACGTGGGAGGCGGCCTGTAGGAGGGGGTCTGCAGGGGTCGGGGCTGGACAGAACCCCCAAGAGTGACACGTCGATTAGTGAATTGTCCGTTTTCGGTTCTCGAGAGGGCGCCGTGGCCGTCATTTTCCAGGCTTGCGCCCGCCAGGTTTGGGCCTCAGGTCGTTTTCACTAAACCACGTTTTACTAAAGGGGGGTCTGTCCATCCCCGGATTTGTAGGAGGCGGTATTGTAAGAATGGGGGGGGTTAAGACGTGCCCATGCCGCGACCCTTCTTTTGTTTGCCCCCTCTCGGGCTTCCCAGGAGGCCCTCCAGGGCGGGTGAGCTCCTCCTTCCGCGCTATGGTGCCCAGCGCTGCGCCGATAGAGCTCGGAAAAGGCCCTCGAACCCAGACCCCCTCGGGTTATGAGCAAATCATCGCGGCAGGTTTTTCGCTGTTCTCGGCCTCTGAGGGCCTACGGTGGGCCTTGGGGCGGGCAAACAACGACGCAGGATGAGATACCAGTCCCGGGTCTTGGGGTCGACGTCGTGAAATGATCACGACGTCGGGGGTCTGGGGAGGAGGAAGACATGCCGATGCGCGGGGCGTTACAGAAAAGGGCCTCAGGATCGAAGGAGTTGTCATCTTTTCCTCGGCGGAAGGCGGCGGAAGGGCGGGGGCCCGCGGAAGTAGATCGAGGCCGTCTCCGCCACCAGGAGCCGGAGGAAGTGAAACGATGCGCACCCACAGTTGCAAGTTTCAAGACGGCTTCTTAGAAGCCGGCAGGGCTTGTAAGAAGGACCCAGCCTTGTGAGAGACCCTCCCCCCCGCGCCACACGCTTGCTTTAGTGCGCGCACCGCGGGCATGCGCAGACGTCTGATGACGCGCTTTTTCTCTCCATCCGCGGCCACAGACTTCCCTCCCGACCGCCTCCCCGGGGATGGCTTCCGTCCCGGAGTCGCACTTGGGTGGCCCAGTGTCCCTCGGGGGCCCCCAAGCGGGGTGGGGACCACACCGTGTGGTGAGCCCGTGGGGATTCGGGGTCACGGCACGGTTTTGGGATTCGGGTCCCTCTCCGAGGACGTCTCGGGCGACAGGGGCCTCCAGGGTCCCAAGACCGTGCGGAGACGGACCGTGCGGTGAGGTCTCTTGGGTTTCCGAGGTCACCGCACGGTCTGTCACCACACGGTTTTGGGATCCCCACGTCCCAGAAGCGGATGCCGAAATCTAAGAAGAACGCCTGGTCTGAGATTATAGGCCTCCCAAATGGGGTCTGAGTAGATGGGGTCGCAGGATCGCTCCGCGTCGCCGATGTATCGGAGATGCGGCTCGATGTGGAGTCCGATTTTCTCCTCGCTGGCGTCGCCGATGTATCGCCGAACTATCGGCGATGCGGCGTGATCCTCCGACCCCATCCAGGAGGCCTCCAGAACATACAATCCGCCGGATGCCTGGGCAACTTCTTTTCAGGATGCAACCCCCGCGAGGGTAAATCAGAATCGGCGTTGGGAGCTGCTCAGTCTGGCCTAGTGCCGCTCAGCCTGTCTCAGTCCTGCTCGGTCCAGCCGCATTGCTTCATGGCCCCCGCATCGGGCTCGGTAGCTCCGAATCCTTCTGACGAAGACCTCCCTTGAGCTGCCTCTTATAGCTTCTGTTCCTCCCCAGGCTCGCCCGCCGCCGTGCTCGGCTGGCTGGGCAGCCTGCGAAAGGGCCTGAGCGCGGGCGGCGGTGGGAGGGGCTCGAAGTGTGCACCGCGTCGTCCGGTCGGCCATGGGGCGCGGTGTACGGACGCCCCGGCTCTCTCCAGCCTGTGGGATGCTCCTTCGCCGGTCACTGGGGGGCAGCCTTTTGGGGGTCAGGAAGAGGCAAGCTCAGCACTCAACGCCTTGGTTTTTCCTTGCTCGGGGCCTCTAGTGTCTCAAGATGTAGCTCTTCCCTTGACTTTGCCAGGCCATTCTTTCTGACCTCGTTGCATGAGCCATCCTTTCGTTTTTCCTCAGTTTGCCCTTGGCTGACCCTGACCCCCAGAGTCTGAGCCCCCTTGGCAGGCGAATGCGATGCCTGAGCGTCTCTACATCGCATTCCTTCGCCGAGCTCCTCCGAGGCGGGAATTTTCCATAACAGATATACACTGGCAACCTCTAGTGGATATCTCCTGTACCTCATAGGGAGGGCGGCAGCCTTCCAAATCGCAACAAGTGCAAGCGATGCTACACACACCGCCACCTCCGAATGCACGGGGGAACCTCGCCAGTGGGTGCTTGAGTGTAAATCGCACTGTGGTGAATCCTAGGTCACCACTTCTCATTTTCGTGTGTTTAATCGCTTCGCTCATGCCGCCATCCCTGGAGCCTCTTTAGGGCCTCTTGGGGGCCTCTTGGGGGCCTCTTGGGAGTCTCTTGGGACTCCTTGGCGGCGTCTTGGGGGCCCCCAGGGCCTCTTGGGGGGCTCTTGGGGGCCTCTTGGGGCGGGAGGGGGGTAGTCGATTGCGGCTCCCCCCTCGGAGGCCACGATCCTCGTGAGTGGTGTCGAAAAATGGCCCTCCCCTGGAGTGCTCTGGTGGCTTCTCCCGGGACCTTGCCGGGGTACTTTTCGTCCGGGGGCCCCCAGGGGCCGCTCCGCGCGCGCGAACTAGAAAGAAATATTGTTAACGTAGCACCCCGCAATTGCGGATAAGTGAGGGGGCGGGCGCGGGCGACGCGGGCGTCGTCGAGTCGGCGGACCTCGTGGCCCCCACCTTCCCTGTCGATGGCGCTCTCCTCCTCCTCCTCCTCCTCCTCTTCTTCCTCGTCCTCGTCCTCATCGTCATCGTCATCCTCCTTCTCCACCTCGTCCTCCTTCTCCTCCTCTTCTTCCTCATCCTCCCTCTCCCCCCTCGTCCTTCCATCATGGTCCTCCCATTGTCGTCCTCCCCCTCATCGGCCTCCATCATTGTCCTCCCATTGTCGTCCATCATCATCCCCCTCCCCCTCCTCCCCCTCCTCCCCCTCCCTCTCCTCCTCCCCCTCCTCTTCCTCCTCCTCCTCCCGCTCCTCGTCCTCCTGCTCCTCCTCCTCCTCTTTCTTCATATTCTCCTTGCATCCTCTCTTCTTCCGCTACTCCTCCTGCCTCCCCCTCCTTTCCAAAGATAACGGCAACGCAATCTTTTTGTTGCACTTTATGCTCCCCGACTTCTCTGATCAAGGCAACTCGCCAGGGCAAAGTTGCTGGACGGGCTGGTGTGGATGCGCGGGGCTTGAAGAGGTCGTTGCGGGCTCAGACGGCGTGCAAAAATCCGCCGCCGCGCTTGTGCGGCATTGGTTTGTTCAATGAACGTGGTTTGGGTCGCGGGTGGCTCGCGGGCTCTCCACCTCCACCTGGAAGGAATGCAAAAGCAGCCCGCCGCAGGCGCCGAAAAAATTGGCTTGTACACTGAACGTGGTTTGGATCGCGGGTGGGTCGCGGGTTCTCCACCTGAAACCATTGCAAAAGATGCCCGCCGCAGGCGCCGAAAAATGTAGTTTGTACCCTGAATGTGGTTTGGGTCGCGGGTTGGTCGCGGGGTGTGTGTCGCGGGCTCTCCACTTGGAAGAATGCAAAAAAGCCCGCCGCAGGCGCCGAAAATTGTGGTTTGTACCTTGAACGTGGTTTGGGTCGAAGGTGGGTCGCGGGTGGGTCGCGGGGTGCGTCGCGGGTGGGTCGCGGGTGGGTCGCGGGTGGGTCACGGGGTGGACCGCGGGGTGAGCGCGGGGTGGGTCGCGGGTGGGTAGCGGGTGGATCGCGGGTGGGTCGCGGGGTGGGTCGTGGGGTGGGTCGCGGGGTGGGTCGCGGGTGGGTCGCGGGTGGGTCGCGGGTGGGTCGCGGGGTGGGTCGCGGGGTGGGTCGCGGGGTGGGTCGAAGGGTGGTCGCGGGGCGGGTCGCGGGTGGGTCGCGGGGTGGTTCGCGGGGTGGGTCGCGGGGCGGGTTGCGGGTGAGACGACGACAACAAACAACAACAAACAACAGACAACCAACAACAACATTAACAACAACAAGAACAAGAACAAAAACAAAAACAACAACAACAACAACAACAACAACCACAACCACAACCACAACAACAACAACAATCCGCACCACGGAATCCCACTTCAGCCACGCACCCAGGGACAGTGAATGACCGTTCGGCCCCCTCAGTCTGACCAGTTACCGGAGATCTTAGCACGCCAGTGGCCCGTGGGGCCGGCGAATTTCCGTGCTGTCTATTTTCGCGTCTGTACCTCCTGGCATCGCTCGGACGTGTGCACTTTTTCCTCGGCGAGGACCATCCAGGACCATCCTGGACCATCGAGCAAAAAAAACATGCACGGCACCGAAAAATGCACGGGAAATGGACATCCGAGCGACGGCAAGACCTTCGCGCGTGCATGTCCGCGGTGCTGCCCGCGGGGGCGCCACGACAAAGCTCGCGCCTCGCGCCTCGCCGCCTGGGGCGGGAGGGGCGTCCCCTCCTTCGGGGCGGCGGCGCGTGGGCGCGGAGCCGGCCGCGCCCCGCGGGGGAAAGCGCGGCGCGCGCAGGCAGGTGGCCCCCCGGGGGGCTTCGCGCCCCCGCTCGGGGAGGAGATCGACAACACGTTTTGTGTCTTTCCTCCATGGTTCGAGAACTCAGATCACGTCTCGGCACACTAATCGGGGGCGGGCAGAACCCCCAACAGTGACACGTCGATTCGTGCATTTTCCGTTTTCGGTTTTCGAGAGGGTGCCGCGGCCGTCATTTTTACAGGGTGCCCCCGGGGGGGCCTCGCGCATCCGCTCGAGGAGGAGATCGACAGTACGTTTTGTGTCTTTCCTCCAGGATTTGATCGGGGAAGTGTGAGACTCTAGAGCGCCAGGACTCGGGTCCGTCGATTTTTTTGGACGCGCGCGTCCTGGATTTTGACGGTCCAGCTCTCGTGGGAGGTCTGCAGCGGGAGCTCGCGTCAAATTCCAGATTGGGCCTCGTCATTTTCATGGCTGGCCCCGTCAGACCAACCCGAGTCCACCGAACCCGAGTCTTACGTCTCCCCGATTTGAGAATTCAGATAACTTCTTGGCACAATAATTGTGCAACGGCAGCGAAAATGTCACGGAATACCTCTCGGAGGTTGTGAACATGTCAAACGGTCAGAAGGAAAAGTAGGAGATCGACTGCAGTTGACGCCCGTGGCGAGGCGGGGATTCATCCATGACTCGGGGTCGGCAAAGAGGGGTGTGATGACTAGGGGGGGGATATCATGGCGGGGGCCATTACATTTCCTCAGATTTCATGGCGCCTCTTCTTGTTTCATTGCGCCCCTGGCCCTCCCGCTGGGCCGCACACGTGCCGCCGGTCATGATGTGCACCCCCCCTCTTGGACACCCCCCTCTTGGCCGCTCCCGAGTAGAAGATCGACTGCAGTGGACGCCCGTGCCAGGAAACACCCCGCTTGCCTCCAGGGGGGCCCTGGGTTTCTTGGGTTTCGGATGTGTTTGCTGTGGAGGGCGTGACGTCCCCACACCAGACAGCAGTGGTCGTCCTGGGGTCTCGGGGTCGGGCTTCTTGACGTGCTGGGGTCTCGGGGTTGGGCTTCTTGTGGAAGGTTTCTTTTGGACTGGCCTCCACTGCACAGGATCATTTGCCCCACAGTTGTCTTGTCGGCGAATCTACGAGCAGGAAGCACGTGCGGAGTGCTCGTAGACCTGCTCGACATGTGCGAGCGCGCTTTCCCCGCAGCTTTTTTTTGCCGGCGCACAACTCGACCTTGGGGGCAATGCAAGCATGTGTTCGATCTCCTGCTCCAGTTGGTACGCCAGGCCCCAGTGGGGGATCTGCCCCTCAACGCCCGACGGGCACGGCCCATACCCCCACTGCGGGCGGGCAGCTCGGCCAGGGGGGCCCAGGCCACGCGCCCACGGGCACAGGGGCTGCCGTGAGGAACAATCCTGGAAGCCTCGCGCGGGGCGCGATATAGAGGAGGAGGAGGAGGAGGAGGAGGAGGAGGAGGAGGAGGAGGAGGAGGAGGAGGAGGAGGAGGAGGAGGAAGAGGAGGAGGAGGAGGAGGAGGAGGAGGAGGAGGAGGAGGAGGGGGAGGGGGGGGAGGATGAGGATGAGGAGGAGTAGGAGGAGGAGGAAGGAGGATGAGGCCCGCGGAGGATGGGTGAGGACGATCGAGCCGGCGGAGAGGGGAGGGGTGTCGGGGAGTAACAGAGGAGACCCACGCCAAGACACACCCTGCTTGCCTCCAGGGTGCCCTGGTTTTTTGTTTGTTTGATTTCGATGGGTTTGCCCTGGAATGCGTGACGTTCCCACTTCAATAATCAATGGACGTACTGGGGTCTCAGGGTTGGGTTTCTTGTGGAAGGTTTCTTGTGGACTGGCCTTCGCTGTAGTTGAGTTTTCGAGTCCACACGTCAGCTCCGTGAGATATGGGTCGAGGTTCGCGCGGCGATGCTCTGGCGTCAGTCCGACGTAGATCCGAGGTCATTCCGACGCAATCCGACGTGAACCCGATGCAAATCCGACGTGGATCCGACGCAAGTCGGGTCTTCCGTTGCCGCGCGTGGCCTCCAGGATTTTCTGCATCAGGGCCTTCGGGCGATGCTCCCTGGCTCCCCGAAGCCGGCCAGATGACATGGACACACCTCCCCAGACATGCGACGTCCTGATTTTTTCAGTACGGCATCCCTGGAAGTCCCGACCCTTTCCCCGGGGCCGGTTTTTCACCCCGCGTCGTTTTTTCACGGTCCCGGGGCCCGGCGAGGGCCTCCTGAGGCCGAACACGGCGAACAAATCCTCGTCCCTGCCCTGCTTTTCTTCGGCGCCCGCGCGTCGGGCTCTGGCCCTCCTCCCGAGGCGCGGGCGGCGCCCCGGCCAGCGATCCCGCCGGTGGGGCCCTCGGGCTCGCGCGGGCGGCGCTGCTGGTCTCGACGTCCGCCGGCCTGGCGGCGGCGCTCTACGTGCTCCGGCGGCGGCGGCTCGGCGATCTCTCCCCCGCCAGACCGCGGGCCGGACGAAAGGGGGGGATGGGGAGAGAGGGGGGTATAAAACGACGCGAAGATCGGGACAACATCGGATCGGGATAACTCGAAATCTCTGAGAATCGGCGGGTTTGGAGGATGTATTGGGCGCCGCGGCCGCTCCAGAGCGTTCCGGAACGCTCTGAGAGCGCTCCGGAACGCTCTGGAGCGATTTACCCCGATCCTAGCCCTGTTTTAGGGTACGAAATTTGCTGCATGCAGCTGGTTGCGGCCTCACCGGGGAGCCCATGCCTCGATACATGGCCGCCTCCGGCGCCGGGAAAAGCAGCTGCGTGAGCTGATTCTCAAACCCCCCCTTTGCTATCCCTCCCTTTCGCCCGACCCGAAGATTGCGGGGGCCCCCAAGCGGAGCGGGGTGGGGACCACACCGTGCGCATGCCTGCGCCGCGCGCTTGCTTTCGTGCGCGCGCCGCGGGCGTGCGCAGACGTCCGACGGCGTGCTTTTTCTCCCCATCCGCGGCCGCAGGCCTCTCTCCCGACTGCCTCCCCCGGGGATGGCTTCCGTCCCGGAGTCGCACTTGGGTGGCCCAGTGTCCCTCGGGGGCCCCCAAGCGGGGTGGGGACCACACCGTGTGGTGAGTCCGTGGGGATTCGGGGTCACGGCACGGTTTTGGGACTCGGGTCCCTCTCCGAGGACGTCTCGGGCAACAGGGGCCTCCAGGGTCCCAAGACCGTGCGGAGACGGACCGTGCGGTGAGGTCTCTTTCGGTTCCGAGGTCACCGCACGGTCTGTCACCACACGGTGTTGGGATCCCCACAGAACCTCCACCAGCGCGTCACCGGCGAAGGGTGCCGATGCTTCTACCCTTCGCGCCCGCTTTCCCCTTTGTGGGCCTCCTGGGAGGCCCTCGCGGCCACCGCTGGATTCGCCTCGAAGTCCTGGTCAGAACGCTCCCGGAGAGGTCCCAGGAGCAGCGGCATCGGTACCTTTTGGTTTCTCCCAGAGCATGTCCACATCCACAGCTGCTGCGGAGGCGTGCCCAGGGATCTCGAGGAGTGGTGGACATGGATACCTGCCCGCCCGCGCGGGCGGGGCCGATTTTCACATCCACCGCTCCTCGCGTGCCCGGAACACGTTCTGTAGCAAATCATGGGAGCCTAGAATACCCTCTTCATTCTGCCTTTAGCGGCTTTAGCGTCGATTAGTGTCGGTTAGCGTCTGGAGTCGATGAGATGGCGCCGATTTAGCGTCCGTTAGCGCGTCGATTAGCGTCGATTTGCAAGAGCCGACCCGATGGTACGGGAGGTTCCCCTGAGTTGCCACCGAAGACACGGGCCCGCGACAGTGGCTATAATTATGGATGTGTCTTCGTGGCGCAGGCGATGCCGCCGGCTATGAGTACGGCTCCGTGGACATCCAGTCGATGACGGACGCGGCCGCCAAGGCCGTGGGCGCGCGGAAGTGTCTGAGGAGGAAACTTTATACCGATGCCGCTGCCCATGCCTTTTCGCCACGGCTGGCTTTGCCCCGAAGTCCTGGCCAGAGCGCACCCTTGGATAGGTCATGGGCGTACGTACAGTGGAGACCCATGCCAAGAAACACCGTGCTTGCCTCCAGAGTGCCCTGGGTTTCTTGGGTTTCGATGGTTTTGCTGTGGATTGCGTGACGTTACGTTCCCACGCCAAAAACCGATGGAAGTCCTGGGGTCTGGGTTAGGTTTCTTGTGGGAGGTTTCTTGTGAACTGGCCTCCAATGTATGGGTACCCGTGCCCCCTAGAAAAAAAGAGGAGACGACAGGGGGTTCGAGGTCAGAGGTTTTTTCGGACGCTCTCGTCCTCGTTGGTGTTTCAGCCTCGGGCTGCCTTCCATCACCTGCGCCTCGCCGAGAGCGCGCAGGGAGGGTGCCCCGATCGTTCTGGACGGCCGCCCAAGACACGACTTGTGGCCCGACGCGGGGAGCACTCGGACCGGGCGGCATGGGCGGGGGTGGGGAAGACGGTGGGCACGACAGCTGCCGCACCGCAGCATGTGTCTGCCCCACCGCCGAGCACATGCCTCGAATCAAACAGTGGCGAAGCGTCCTGGCTCGCCCATCGCCCATTTGGCCAACCTGTGGACTGCACGACATGTTCTTAATTAGAACATTTCTGTCTGAGACTGTTTTGTTTTGACACATCGGATGTATGTTCTGCAATTCGTGGTAGGCCTCTTGGAATGCTGGGACGATCGGTCCCTGTTCAACTCGAAGCACGGCAGCTCCTGGAGCCTGCAAGCTTGGGCGCATGCTGCTGGTTCGCTAGCTTCCCTTGGTCCCCCCCTCTCGTCCGACCCCTTAACTAGGTGTTCGATCATGGACCCTCTGTGGAAGGCAGCCGTTCAGCTTGCACGCCGAAGGCCACTGACAAGACCGCCGGAGGTCGCCAGACACCGCCGAAGACGGCCCAGGAACGATGGGTCCATTGTCGCCGAAGCAAGGCTTGGCATCGCTCGGACGTGTGCTTTTTTTCTTCCGGCGAGAAGCATCCTTGATCATTCGGCGAAGAGCATCGAGGAGCATCCTCGATCATCGAGGACCATCGAGGACCATTGAGGAGCGTCCTTGATCATTCGGCGAAGAAACCCCGTACGAAACCGAAAACAGCACAGGGACTGGACGTCCGAGCGATCGCGAGAAGGGGCCCGTGGTCGTATAGTTTGTGCGGGGCGCCCCCCGAAGAGGCCCTCCACGGCGTGGAACAGGGCGGCAAGCCGGGGGCGCGCAGGGGCCCCAGGGCGCCGGCTCAGGAGCACGCCGGGCCCTCCCCGTCTTTCTTGTGCTGCTCCTGGGATGACCGTGGGGGCTTCTAAGTGGATAGGGGGGGTACAAGTGGATGCCAAGGTGGGTTACAAGTGCCCTAAGAAGCTCAGGAGGGGTCGATAACTCGGCTAAGTGGGCGGAGCCCACCTAGCCCAGATCGTTAACCCCCCTAGGCTACTTAGGGCACTTGTAACCCACTCATAATCCAGATTGGGCCAGATATAACCCACCTTGGCATCCACTTGTAACCCCCCTATCCACTTAGGACCCCCCACGGTCATCCCAGTCCGCAGTCTGATTCATTCGATTGGACGTAAGCGTGACCTTTCGCCGGAGTGACCTTTGGTGCGGGCCCATCGGGGCCCCCCGGTCGCCGAGCGCGATGCGATAGTTAGTAGCGTCTTTCGCGATTGGATCTGGCCCCACCGGGGCCCCCCAATGGCCGCGCACCAGAGGTCACTCTTACCCAGGGTCAATCTTGCGTGTAGCCGATTCATTGGCTTGCGCCGCACCGCCGACCCCTTGGGGCGGCAGCAAGGGTAAAAGACGGAGTTCGGGGAGCGCGCGCGATCGCTGGGGAATCTTGGGGTTTCGGCCTGCCATGTAGGGGATTCGGTTTGATGTTTTTCGTGGTCTTTGTGGGTGTCCTGGGGGTTTCGCGGGGCCTGTCCCAGGCCTCCTTTTTCACCTCATGGATAATATCCAGGGGGTGCGTCTGGCAAGAAGCTCGAGAGTGGACCCAGCTGTGTCGACGAGGAGCTCCCAGAAGGCCCAGTGTGGGCGGAGAGCGCCCGAAAGCTAGGAGGCTCATGCCTCGAGCCTCGATCCACCCCGTGTTCCTTCCTTTGCGAAGGGGTGGCACCGGCAAAGGAGGTCGATCCTCATCCCGGACCCTCGGCGGTGGTCCCAGGCACCGAAAACGGTTCCTGGAGGCTGAATTCGAGGAGATGCCTCGGGTGGTCGAAAGACCGCGAAAATTTGTGAGACATCGGCGGCGACGACGAAATCTATGTTTTGGGGTTTCCTCTTCCTCCTCTACCTCCTCCTCGTCCTTCTCCTCTTCTTCTCCTTCTCGATCGAGGCAGATGCCCGCGGCAGATCCGGCCGCCGTGCCATGGAGTTTTTTTTTAACAGTTTTTGTTTTGTTGTTTTGTTTGATAGGTTTCGCTATCCGGGGGCTGTTGCTGGGCCCCGGGACTTTCAAACGGGACGGGGCGAAGTGCTCGAATTCTCCATTCGGGTTTCCGTTCTTACCCTCCTCTTGGGGCCGTCCTGGGGGTCTCCCTGGTGGCCTCGGGGGCCATATTGGGGCCCGTGTGTGCCGTCTGGGAGCCCTCCTGGGGGCATGCGGGGGCTTCTGGGTAGATTTTGTTTTTTGCGGGGGGTGCTGTGGGGCTCGCGAAAGCTCAAAAAACTACTGTGTTAAACTTGGACGTTTCCCTTCGGGAAGGGGCCGAGGTTTGGTTTTGCCAGGCCTCTTGGGGCGCGTCCCGGTGGCGTGTTCGAGCGTTTAGGGGGCTTCAGGGGTCAGTTGGAGGCAATGGCGGGCGTCTGGGACTATTTGGGCCGACCAGGAGGCTTTTTAAGAACCCTCTTGGCCCGTGTTGGGGCCCTCTTGGGACCGTCCTGTGGCTCTCCAAGGCCGTTGCTATGGTTTCTGGGGCCTTCCTGGGGCGCCTGGAGGCCGCCTTGGAACCCTCTTGAAGCCTCTGGGGCTGAAAGGGGTCGATCTTGGAGGCTTCTTGGGCCGTTGAAGGCCTCGTGGAAGCCCAAGAGGCGAATGTGCAGAAAGTGCATGTTTTGCTTATGGAGGCCTTCGTGGAGCGCCTCGTAGTAGCTTTTCCAAATGTCTGGGGGGCTTACGGGGAATCGTCTGCAGGCAAGCTGGGGCGGTTTGGACCGAATCGTCCCCCGCGTGGGCCGTCCAGAAAGCCTTTGGGGACCCTCTTGGCCCGTGGTGGGGCTCGCGTGGGGCCGTCCTGCCCGTTGCTGCGGTTTCTGAGGCTTTCGTGGTGCGCCCGGAAGCCGTCGTGGAGCCTTTTTGAGAGCCTCTTGGGGTGTCTGGGGTCGAACTTGGAGGTGAACTGGGCCGTTGTAGGCCTCGTGGAAGCCCAAAAGGCGAATGTGCAGAAAGTGTATGTTCCCCCCCCCCCCCCCGGAGGGAATGGGACGATTTTTGCTTGTGGCGGCCCTCTTGGAGCGCCTCGCGGACGCGTGTTCAAACGTCTTGGGGGCTTATGGGGCTGTCTGGAGGCAATCTTGGGCGGTTTGGACCGAATCGTCCCATGCGTGGGCCGTTTGGGACCCTGCTGACCCGTTTTGGAGCCCTCTTGGGACCGTCCTGCGGCTCTCCCGGGCCGTTGCTATGGTTTCTGGGGCCCTTGTGGATCGCTTGGAAGCCGTCGTGGAGCCTTTTTGGGGCCTCTTGGGCTGCGGAGGGTCGATATTGGGGGCTTTTTGTGCCGTCTTGGGCCGATTGGAAGCCAAAAGGCAAACGTGCTGAAAATTTGCGGTTCCCCTCGGGGATGATGCGATTTTTGCTTTGAGAGGGCCTTCGTGGGGCGCTTCGTAGCATTTTTTCAAGAGTCTTGGGGATTGATGGGGCCGCTTGGAGGTAATCTTTAGCGTGTTGGAACGATCTCGTGTCGACCCGTAGCTCTCTTGGACCGTTCCGGGGCGCTTTTGAACCTTTTTTGCGCGTTTTGGGGCTCCAAGTGTGCGGCCGACACGTTTGCCCCAGACCGCCACCCCCTCCAAAACGGCCGGACCGGGCCCCCGGGGGAGGGGTTTGGGGAGGGGGAAGCATCTCACACGCCGTGGCCCCAAGGGGTCGGCGGATTCGGCGGCCAGCCCAGGGGGCCAGGGGGGAGTGAGTCGGGGCGGGCCTTCTCGGAAGGCTCGGAAGTCCTCCGCTGAAGTCACAACAAGAACCTCTCAGGAGGCCAGAGGGTTTCTGAGAAACCCCGCCGTGGAGAAGGCCTTCCTTCTTCTCGCTTCCCCCCTCGATTCGGGGGCAACGATAGGGGGGGGATAGGCATAAGGGGGGAATGCATCGACCCCCAATCGCCCATTGATCGCCGATAGGGACCCGATAGCTCCACCCTGCCCAGGAAGGTGCGGATTCATTGTCGGGGGCGTATCGCCGATCAGTCGACGATGTATCGCCGATTCCAGGTCGATGCATCCCCCCTATGCCTATCTCACCCTATCGTTGCCCCTCATCTCTCGCCGCCGACGAGTGCTCTTTTGATGCAGGCGGGATAACGATTCTGAGCGTTGCTCGGGAGAGGGGGCGCCACGCAGCATGCACCTTGGGCTCCAGGCTGGTACGTGGGCGTCGTCGTCTCCACAGTCTTTTCTGGCGGGGGGACAACAATTGGTTTCATCGCTCCCTGAGATACACTGAAGGATAACAAGTGGACGTCCGCGCGAATTTCTTGAATCTGCGCTTGAGCCCAGGCCTTGTGGTGCACGCGAGCGTTGTTAAACGCAGAAGTGTCGCGGCGAGCAAGCGAAGTGTGGCGCGCGCATGGGCTGTGGTGAGCACGTTTTTTGTGGCGCGCGCGGGCACTGGTCAATACGTGCCTTGTGATATGCGCAGGGGTGGAGGTGTCGCGCGCTGCTGTAACAGCTGTGGGGTGCACGGGTGTTGTGGTGCACGCGGGCGCTGAAGTGCACGCAGGCCTTGTGGTGTACACAACCGCTGTGGCGCACGCAGTTATTGCCGCACCAGCCGCCGCGGTGCATCCAGGCATGGCGGTGCGCACATGCAGTGCGGTGGGCAGTGGCAGAGTTGTGCGCGCAGGCCCCGTGGTGCACACAGGCGCTGTGGTGTACAACATGTGGTGCACGTAGGCGCGCTGCTGTGCTCATGACAGCAGACCTGCCCTTGTTTCTGTTGCGGCGCAGTCGCGACATTTGTTGATGCATCTCGCTGTCGGGTATCAAACAGAACCGCTTTGGGGGGCCCTTGTTACCTGCGCGGGAGAGGGCCGCTGCGCCTGTGATCACGCGAAGATGCAGCGCCCCCTCAGCGGCGTCGGGTTGCATCTAGGCGTTCGTCATGTTTCTTGGTTGGGCGTGCCCGCCGTGCCCGCGATGCTGTGCTATGCTGTGCTAGCTCAGACAGCGTTGCGTGCTTCACGAAAGTAAACTATGGTTTTCCCCGGCGCTACACCATGTGAGTAGCTTTCTGCCCCCTCCCTAGGGGGATGTATTTGTTTGCGCAGCTTGCGGGAAACGTCAGGACGATCGGGGTTGGAAACTATCCAGCTGCCTCTGGCAATTCCGCCGCCGAGCCAGCACAGCATTATGGGCGGTCTTTTTTTCGCGAAGGCAGGGGGGCTTGCTGGGGGCCTCTTGGGGCAGCAGGCTCGGATTCGTAGTTCGTGGTCCCACTCTTGGGCGTTGCTTGGGGTTCTGGGCGCCTCCTGGGCCGTCTTGGAGCCCACTTGGGCCGTCTTGGAACTCTCTTGGGGGCCTCTTGAGCCGCCTCTGGGGGGGGGTCTTGGGGGGCCGTCTTAGAGCGTCCGAAACTCGGGAGTGAGACGCCAAATGCATGTAAGAAATGTATGGGAATCAATGGTTTTGGCCTTTCGTGGCCCTCTTGGGGGCCTCTGTTGGCCCTCTTGTGGCCTCTTTTTGCCGTCTTTGGTGGAAGGCTGGAATTGTCGGTTCTTGTTCAAACTGCTGGGGCCGTCTTGGGGCTCTCGTGGGCATTTTTGAGCGACTCTTGGGTGGTCTTGGAGCTCTTTTGGACCGTCTCCGTGCCCTTGTGGGGGCCTCTTCGGCCGTCTTGGGCCAGTCCTTCTGGCCTCTGGGGTCGTCTTGAGACGTCGGAAGTTCGAACAGGCGAGAACCCGAAGCACGTTGAGCAGCCTACGGGACATCAATGTTTGTTGCATCTCGAGGCCCCCTTGGGACTGCTCACGACCTATCGGGTATCCATGCTCGTTGCTTCTCGAGGCCCTGTGCTGTTGGGGCTCTC